GCCGCCACCGCCGCCGCATTGGATAACCATTATCATCGATGATCGATCCTGCCGCTATCACCGTCAGAGTTCACCAAAAATTAGGGCATCGACAAATTTTAGGTAAAATCTTAAAAAAAATTCTCCTAATTTTTTATATATTCTAACTATTTCATGCTAATAACTTGTTTAAATTTAGATTTTGAAATAAATTTTGAAATATTTATGAATTTTGTGAAGAAAAATTAAAGAAATTTGTGTATGAAGTTAGAGGGAAAATTATCAAAAATTGTAAAAGTTAGTGTATTATAAAAGTTTGACATTTGGTTAAAATTATGGATGTCTAAAATCGATATTAGAGGATTTAATGGTAAATAATACTTTTTGTGTTTTTCATGTAATATTGATATTGGAATTTTTTACTGTTCAGAGGTAACGATGAACAATAGAATCGTAATTCTTTATTCATATGATGGAAAGATTAACTATCTTGAGAATAACATGCCCGTGTATGAAGGAGGTGTGACGAAGCCGTTGTTTATATCAAAATCATGTACTTTCGATGAATTGGTTAATAACTTACACAGACTTACATTAATCAATTTACGGGAGTATCACCTCAATGTTATTTATAATTATCCTGTTACGGGGAGCAGAACAAATGACATTCAAATCTCAAGTGACTACGATATGGGTCTTATTGGATTATTGCATGACAAGAAGCGTTCGGTGGAATTATTTATTGAAAAGCATCACAAAATTTTAGGCAAATCGGTGAATCACGATGGAGTATACTCTTGCATATTGGAGGACATTGAAGTTGACTCCGGCAGCTTTTTATGTCTGCAACAAGATATAGGACGGACACGGTCACAATACTTAAGCGGTCCTTCTCTTGTGAGCACTTCAAATGTCTTTGATGATAGCGCTCCTCATCAAGATATAATGCATTCCACAGGAGTGACGACAGAAGATGATAATGTAAGTGTCGAATCCGAGGATGATGATGAAGAGGATGGCTTACAAATCAATAGCATGACGTGTTTGATAGATCGTGATGAAGGGGACAACCAATATATTGACGGATATTACTCTAACAATGAGTATGTCATGTTAGAGGATCCTTCGCCCGATGAACTTCATGGAGAAGAATGGATTGATAACTCTATGATGGAAAGTATTCCTATCGACACTAATGTAGTTGATGATACATAAGGTGAGGACTTCTCATTCAAAAAGGGCGATCTATTTAAAAGCAAGGGGAAATTGATTCATGCACTTCGTTTATGAGTCATCCAAAAAAATGTCAAGTTTAAGCAGAAGCAAGGGGAAATTGATTCATGTGCTTCGTTTGTGGGTCATCTAAAAATGTCAAGTTTAAGCAGACAAAAAGCAATGCAACAAGCTATAATGTAGTTTGTTTTTACTGTAAAGGTGGCTGTAGGCGTATAAAACTGCTTATAGGTCCCTTGACACAGCTCGGCGCGATGATTCGACAAATCGACGAACGTTCAAGCAACGAAACGAACTAAAGAGGCTACAAAGCTAACGAACTGCATGTGAACAACGTTAGTGGTTCGGGGAGTCGACGGGTCTTCCAACAAAGTGGATTTGAACTCAAACACCGACTGAGTTTACTGCCAAATCCGGAATCAAGTCAACAAATCAACAAAACAACCGAACAACGGACAAAACAACCGGAAACAACGGAAAACGACAAAACCAGCGCACCTGGGGGAACTCGGCCCGAACCGAACCACCCTAAGGTGGCTCGGCCCAAGCCGAGCCACCCTAGGGTGGCTCGGTGGCCGAGCCACCCCAGGGTGGCTCGGCCAA